AACTGTGCTCACGACCTGGGGTTCAAATCCCAGGTAGCCGGCTCAAGGTTGACTCAGCCTTCCATCCTTCCGAGGTCGGTAAAATGAGTACCGAGCTTGCTGGGGGGGGCAATGTGTAGCCTGTTTAATTAAATTGTAAACCGCCCGGAGAGTGTTTGTAGCGCTATGGGGCGGTATATAAGTCCAATAAATAAATAAATAAATATAGAAAAATGGTAGTTTCTAGATTTGGTATCAATGCAAAACACCTGCGGAGAAAATTTCGTTCCCTAACCAAAAAGCCTGAGGAATCTTATTCCCAGATAGGGACTAAACTTCTTCAATGTTTGGACAAATGGATGGAACACGAGAATGTCACTTCTCTAGAGAAGGTGAAAAATGTGATTGGGTTAGAACTATTTTATTCTATTTTGCCTGGGGAATTGAGTTATTTAGTTAAGGACAAAAATCCCCAAAATTTATTAGAAGCAGATGAAAATATTGGGGAGATTTGGGACTATAGCTTCTCTGAGGTAAATTTTAACAGGCAAAACTGGGACCACCATAAGAAACCCTTTAATAAAAACCACCTCATCAAAACACCAGGGAAAGAAGGCCAGGGTAGTACTTCACCTAAATTAGCATAGCCTAGTTCTTAGTCCCAAACGAACCCTGAGGAAAAGTTAAATTTGAACAAATCTTCTCAGAATGAGCAGAGGACTTATAAACAGTGTTATGACTGTGGAGAGTTTGGGGATTATCAGGCAAATTGTATGAAAAATAAGAATAAAAAGGGAAAGGATGATAATCAGACCAAGAAAGTGTACTGTTTAAGACCAGTTGAAGCCACTGAGGGAGGCTGTAACAATGGTAGTTCTGTCTCTATGGCAACCAAGCCTACTGATCTTGAGGAGATACTGAAGCCCCTACAGTCCACTGTTTTTACATCAAAAATGACAATACTCTTCTTAAAAACACTGCGGAAGAGATAGTAGTGGATGGAAAGAAGTACATAGCTCTAAGGTACACAGCTTCTCAAATTTCTATCGCACATTCAGATCTGATAGCTCAGGACAACATAATTCCAAGCAGAACTATGACCCTAAAAAGAATTGGGAAGGAAACTGTGGTGCTGAAAGTGGCAGAGGTTCAGATAACTTATGGGAATTGGTCTGGAATGTGGCAAGTGGCCATTTCAGATAAAATACCGGCTGCTTTTCTAATCGGATGGGACTTAATAGAGCATGTTAAGAGTGCTTTTGCACTAACACACTCACCAGGGGGCCAGGAATCACCCACTGCAGTAGAAATGGATACTGTAGCCGAAGGAAGCCTGGAGGGAGAAAGTTCCTTGGATTGCCAGCTTAATAGTCATGCTGAAGCTGATCTTATTCTTTTGAAAGGCCCTGAGATAGCAGAGATGGTCAAATTGGAAAATCCTAATAATACTTTTTATATTGATGAGCAGAGGGAAAATAGTACTTCAAATGATTGTATTACAACATCTGATGAGAGTCCCATTCCACTGACCCCTGAACATCCAGAGAGGTCTTTAGCTGATAAAGACTTGACCTATAGAGATGGTTTAAAGGCACCTCATAGAGGACCCCACAAACAGATATTTGTCCCTGGAAATAATGGGTAGGAGTCCTTAGAAGTGGCAGAGTCAAGCTTGGGAGGTACTCCTGGAAAGGAGAAAGGCTTAAATGAAACCCAGGAAAGAGCATTCTGTCCTGAGGACCAAATAGTGGGACTGAGATCTATAGAGGGCTTGTGGCAGGGTCAGAACCTATATATTTGTTGCAGCATCACTGGAGTGCCAGTGAGTTTATTAGCTCTGCAGCTGGAAAAGGCCGCCTTAAAACCTTGCAAGGCAACCGCCTACCTAGCTTATCTATGAATGAAGAAATAGAATCAGATAACACACACAGTGCATCTAAAACAAACTGATCGTTTAAGATTGCACTTAAAAGACACTCACCTGAGAATCTTAAAGTGACCCGTGATAGTGGTTCCCCACATAGGGAAAACTTTGCAAAAAAAGTACCTGTGGGTGAATTTGTGAGTGAGGAGGAAGGCGTTAGTCATGACATTTCAAGATAGAACGCATCCAGGGATGTCCGGGACAAGGAGAGGAAAATGCCTACCCTTTCCCCAACTGATAAGGTGAAGCCTTGAGCCGGGAAGAAAGCAGGCTTCACTAAGAAACGGCAAGCAGAGGACTTCCAGTGGACATCAGAGGGCCTGATGACTGCTAGTCGACCGAAAAAAAACACAGAAGAAGGAGCCAGAGATCATTCAGATGGACCCCTGAGTGCCAGCAGTTGTTTGACCAGCTGAAGGAGGTGTTAACGACCGGACCAGTACTCAGCGAACCTGACTACAGCGGGGAGTTCATCATTTTCACTGATGCATCAAACATTGGACTTGGAGAGGTGTGGGGCCAAGCCGATGACAGCGGGATCGTGCAGGACTTGGACTTTGTAATCCACAGCATTAATAAATCACAGAGCGTGGATGATGGTACTTTGCCTCGAAAACCAAATGACTGATGGGGGAATAAACAAAATTGGTAATGTATAATAAATGTTCTGCTTGTTAATAGTGATGAAAAATTGAATATTGACGGACTGAGATGTGGAGAAGGATGCAAGGACTTTTAAAATAAACTGGAATAGACTATTGATTCTGTGTTTAATTATCTATGTAACATTTTCATGAAAATGTTATTTCTGTAGAATTGTAAAATTAAATGTCGTAAGTGTCCATCAAAAGGTAAAGTATATTATTGAATTGTATTGAAATGTGTAAAGTGAGAAGGTATTGTGTTACAGAGATATATGATGTATTGTTTGCAAAATTGTGCCAGAGGGTAAGTAGTTTTTATGCAATTATACATGTTTGTTTAGGATGAAAAACATGTATCCCCTCCAAAACAAACATATTTAAGGGGGGGAGAGGTATGTAGCATCCACCCTTTGTTAGGTATAAGTGATGTATTATTCATATTCTATGCAAATGTGGTGGAGAGGCGAAGCCTGAGAAGAGAGTCAGTCAAAACTCAGTCAGTCAGAAGAGAGAGAGATTGAGTTAGAGACTGGTTAAGATAGATAGAGAAGGTGAAAATTATATGGCAAGAGAATAGTATGTAAATCTGAAAAACTTCTGTGATTAATAAACTGGCTTTACTTTAATAAATAAGTTTTATATGCATTCACAATACAAGTGTCTGATCAAACGTCATTATTTTGTGGATTGAGGTAATCCACTGGTGGCAATGAAAGGAAAATACAACTGCAACCTTTGTGAGGGCAGAAAATGTAGGTGCCTCAAGGAGTGGACGTCACAATGGTTTTTATTCTTTCTACTACTGTCTCAGAGATAATTATTGAGACTGTATGTGCTAGTTAATAAGAAAAGGGGTGGACTAATTTTGGGAACTAAGTTATTCTGCTCTGTAAATCCCTGTATTTCTGCTGAACAGCTAGAGGAATTTAACCAGAAATACAAAACTTTGCAGGAATTAGAAAAGATAATCAAGTGCAAGGATGCGCCACTGGAGAGATCAAGATCATCCACACTATTGTGTTTCCAGTCACCATGTATGTTGGCGTGGGGCCAAAACTCCAGAGGCTTAATGAGGCTCTGGCCTCAAGAAAACGTCTTAGAGTCCAGTTGAAATGTGAAGCTTGGCAAGAGCACTCTGTTTAAAAGACAGGCCTTGAAAACTAAGGACACTAGTTATACAGAGCCTCTTATCAGATTGCTTCCATTCCTCCCACTCAAATTTAGCAAAGTTAGAGACTTAGACGTGGGACAAAACAACATGAGAGAGTTCTTAGTGATTATAATATAGTATATTGGATATGGCTAAACATATATACATGGCAATATACATTTGGCATTACAACATTCAGAGCAATGACATAGAAGTAAATGGCCACCAGACTTACTGCTGAGTGGCAAATGGTCTGTTCTGTCTCTGTTACATTTATACCCACAACAACCAATCACATTTCACCATTTACAGCTGGTCTTGCTTAACAATCAAGCATTACATCATCTTGTTACACCTGTATGCTGTTGGTCATTACACTGGCTTTTACTCTACATTGGTGACTCTGCACTTTCATTACAATATTAAAATTTAACTCCCTGTTCACCAAAAGAACAAAATCCTGACAATGTATGGGTGTGAAAGTTTGACAGTAAAGAAAACTGACAGAAAAAAATTGACTTGTTTGAAATGTAATGCTGGAAGAGAACTTTGAGGATGCCCTGAACTGCCAGAAAGAGGAACCAGTGGATACAGGTACTAGATAAAATCCAGGCTGAACTATCTCTGGAAGCAAACATGTTGAAATTGAGGCTGTCGTACAAATGGGCAGTTCATGAGAAGACAGGATTATCTGAAAAAGGCAAGAATGCTGGGAAAGGTGGGAGGCAGCAGGAAAAGAGGAAGATCATATATATCTGATTGCTTGACTCCCCAAGGAACCGCAGGCTTGAGTTTACAAGAGCTGAGCAGGACTGATAAAACACAAAGTGGTAGGTAGCATATATTCTGATGTTTGTGTCCGAATTTGAAATATTCCCTTCCATTTTATTGGGGGTACCTCTGAAAAATAAAATGAAAACACGACAATGAAATGGGCTAATAAATGTATTCTCCACGTATCCCGTTGACCGTCAGCTCATACCATTGCCAAAAACATCAGTGAGCTTATCATTACCCCCTCTCCACCCAGCGCCTACAATTCCCAGGTGGTATCGCGCGGCCTTACCAAATCGCGTCTCGTTCCTCCCGCTCTCGGGCCTCTTCTCGCGCTATTTGGATTTTCCTCCCTTCACCCGGCCTAAACGGACCGCTCAGCCCATCCCTCTCTACCTGGCTATGGCCGATCCCAAGTATGCGGACCTGCCCGGCATTGTGAGTGCGGGGCGGGGGCGGCGGGAGGGGGGCGGCGATCCTGCCATTAGCCAAACGGGGAAGGCGGCGGCGGACGGGGAACGGGATGCGGAGGGAAAGAGGAGAAAAGGGTGGGGTAGCGGAGAGGGGGGGTGTCGGGTGGATGCCTGACTCTGTAGGGAAGGATGGGGAGAGAAGGAGGAAGAGGAGGATGAGGAGGATGAGGATCCCCTGCTCTGACGAGGCGGTCGGTGGGGCTTTGGAGGGACGCTGTAAGGCCCCTTGGGGAGAAGTCGGTTTGATCCTGACTGAGGGGAGCCGGGTGAAGGCGCGGCTTTCTTGACCTGGGACTGCAACTCCCATCAGCCTTGGCCAGCGCAGCCAGTGACGTGGCATGATGGGAGTCGGAGTACATCTGTACCTGGAGAGAGCCCTCTGGGATTTAAAGTGAAGCCAGGGCTCTCTGCCTTAGTTCACTCCCCTCTCCCCCCCCCATTCCCCGAAGAAGCATGGTTGAAGGAGATGGATAGCCTCTGAGCATGTCGTGTCGTAACAAAGGGAAGGGTGCCTCTGGGGATGAGAAGGATTCCTTTCCCTTCCGGGATTGGTAGCAATAAATCAACGGCACCAGGAAAGCAGACCCACGTGTAGGGATACCGGTTATCTCATCATGATATCTCTAACGAATTTCTCCCACTTTTTGAGGAATACGAATTTCCCTGTATCAGTTGCCTGTATCTCTGTATCAGGTCCAGTGTGGATACAAGGGGGAGGGAAAGATTGGGATTGTGTTGAGACCAGCAAAGAAGGTTTAATAATAATAATAATAATAATAATAATAATGTAGTAGTAGTAGTAGTAGTAGTAGTAGTAGTAGTAGTAGTAGTTGTTGTTGTTGTTGTTGTTGTTGTTGTTAAAAGGAAACATAAATAAATAAAAATAATATCTGCTGGGCACTTGGAAAGTCCTGTATGTAGAAATGTGAAGGATGGGGAACTTGCTTCACTCCACTTAAAACCTGGCTATTTAAGCAGGCCTTCCCACCGGGCACCACTTAATTTAATTTCTGATTCTCCATACTGATTGTTATTGCTGTAAATTGTTGTAAATTGCTCTTATATGTCAATTGTTTTTACTTTACTCGTTGTGAGCCGCCTAGAGTCGACTATGTCTAGATGGGTGGCATATAAGTTTAATAAATAAATAAATTCCTTTTTTTGTTTTCCTTTCTTTTCTTTTCTCCCCCCCCCCTTTTACATATACCCATTTCTAGCTGAGTGGGGGGATAATTGAATAAATAGAATGAATGATAGCTAGAATTGTGGGGGGGGGGTGTTTGTTTTTTAAAAAGTTCAGGGGAAACTTATCTGCCTCATAATAGCAAATTATAAATATAAATTAGGATTTATCTTAAGGCAACACTGACTATTATAGGTTCAATGTCGGAATCTGGAAGTTGAGTTGATAAGGAATGAATCTGTAGTTTTTGAAAGACTGAGGACTGGTTTTGCCTGTGTTTTCAGCCTGTGAGGCAGTGTGGAAAGCAGCTGTAATTTTACCATCCTTGTTGCCCAACAAAGCAATAGCCACTAAGTTGTGCTAGTTGTCAGTTACAGAAGAGGAAAGGGAGAACCACACTTTGAAGGCATCTACAAGTTGTTCAGAAACTGTCACATCTGTCTTGCAGGGAAGGTAACTGTGTTTCTAACCTGAAGCTCTCATTAGCCCTAACAGGCTCTAAGAATGGTGGAGGATTATGGGAGCTACAGTTCAAAAACTTGAGGGCAACAGTTGTTTGCCTGTGGTGAATGTAATGATTACCCTGTTTCCCCGAAAATAAGACAGGGTCTTATATTAGTTTTTGCTCCAAAAAATTCATTAGGGCTTATTTTCAGGGAGTGTTTTATTTTTTCAACAGTCTACATTTGTTCAAATACAGTCATGTCATCTTCTGGTTGCTGCACCATAGTGGAGGGCAGGGTTTCACGTAACTGCGGCTTATTTTTGGGATGGGGCTCATATTACGAGCATCCTGAAAAATCATACTAGGGCTTATTTTCAGGCTAGGTTTTATTTTTGGGGAAACAGGGTACAGAGGTCAGTCATAGGTAACAGATGTTTCTGGGTATTATACTAGGACTGGACAGATAATTTATGTCAGAAAGCATAGGTTTTTGGGCTCTGATAGCTGCTTCTGTCAACATGAATTTGACCCAGCTCCGGGAGGCAGTGGAAGACAGGAGGGCCTGGCGTGCTCCGGTCCATGGGGTCACAAAGAGTCGGACACGACTTAACAACTAAACAACAACAACAACAAGAAGCTGCTTCTGTCAGTTGGGATGCAAATGATTAGCTATGCATGCATGTGATGTGCACACATAGATGCTACCCTGTGTCCACATCAGTGCTTCCTGCCCCAGAATGAAACACTGAGATTGTAATTTCCCTACCACAATTTGCAGCAGGCAAACAGCAGTCTCAACTCAGGACATAGCATTCCATCCTGACCACCTGAGGGATAGGATAACATCATCCTCATGATCTTAGATCATGTAAAGGCGGCACATTGAGGGAAATTGAACTCCCAACCTCTGGCTCTGCAGCCAGATGCTTAAACCAGAGCAGTTCAGTGGCTTTGTGGGGCAGTATGGAGAGCAGAGCTTTGCAGAGTTTGCTTGTGTTGTGGCAACATTGTTCTATCATTGGAGCCTGTTTGCATTTAGGAGAGGTTAGAGCTCAAAGGGAGCACATTTGCTTTGCATGGAGAAGGTCTCAGGTGCAATAGTTGGCATCACCAGTGAAAAGATAGTGGAGCAGTGATGGGAAAGACATGTTAATTCCCCTAGGGAATCAGCACCCAGTCACAGACCTGAAGAGTTGAACTAAAAACTACTACAGTGGTGCCTTGCTTGACGATGTTAATTCATTCCAGCGAAATAGCTGTAGAGCTAAAACATCATCAAACGAAACGAAAAAATCCCATAGAAACCCATTGAAAACCCATCCAATGCATTCCAGTGGGCTGAAAACCTCACCGGCCAGTGAAGATCCTCCATACGGCGGCCATTTTCGGTGCCTATAAAGCGAGGAATCCTTCCTAGAAAACAGCAGGGGGCCATTTTGAAAGCTGGTGGCCATTTTGAAACCCGCCGATCAGCTGTTTGCTGATCATTGTAAAGCAAAATATTGGTTTCCACAGCAGGGAACTGATCATCGCTAAGCAAAAGCCCCATTTAAACCATCATTTTGTGATCGCAAAAAAACGTCAGCGTAATGCAGATTTGTCGTAGAGCAGGGTAATCGTCCAGCGGGGCACGACTGTAATGAATGAGGCAAGGCTGGAGGATTCACTTGTACAGACCTCAAAGCTTAAATGGGATAGAATTGGATGACTTCGTTTATTTAATTCGAGGCACTGTAGTTCTTTCCTAGTGAAAGCTTCACCGACTCTGCCTAATTTCAAAAAAGCAGTATTCAAGGAGACAGCTCACCACATCTCCCTAAGTGTGGTATTTTGTGCTCCTTCCTCTGTGAGGATGCTTTATTTTGGTGCATCCTTTCTGTACACCATTAGAGTTTGGTTATAATGCTGGGTACAATTTTGCCTTCTTGTGCAGCCGCTGGAGAAGCACCGGCTGTGGGTAGACTGGGTTAATAGACTGTCCCCTTTGCCTAACTGCAGTAGAGCTTTCTGCAAATAATTTTGAATCTTTGTTTCATTCAGATGGAGATGCTGCCTCAGGCGGAAGGTTAGATAATGTTACATATGATGACTTTGTTGTTTAGTCAGTGATGAGAGTGTTTTTGTGTTCCCTTCATCAAGACAGTTGATGGGAAATTCAGTCTCTCTTTTCAAAGCACGCACACATATACAATTTGGTTTCTGTATGCAGTATAAGGTTATTTTATGTCTGGCATATTTTTGCTATTGATACTTTTCTGCTGTTCTCTACAACCCTTTTGCAAATAACCACTTGCCTAGTTGCCTCTAATAAGTTAGAATTGCCTCCAGCGAAACAGGGATGGAAGCTGCACAGAAGTTGATTTGTTTAGGCTACCATCTTTCGGATTGTGTCTGGACAACCCTGGAGTGAAGCAGATGCTAAAGTAATGGTATTCAGATCAGTGATCGTACTTGAAGTTCAGAGGAGAAGAACTTTACTATCAGCACCATTTTTTTTCTCAGAGAGGAGATATAGCAGGAAATTGGTTGGTGTACTTTGGGTCCATTAGACACGGGATATTCGTATTTATAATGCTGGGGATATGAATATGAATATTGGTACTACAGGTGCCTGGGAAGTCCAGCCTCTTCCCTCCGAATTGGCAGGTCCAATTACTGGTTGCAGTGCGGTGTGTGTGGCCAGCGGCGTGTCAATCGCAGAAGTAGCCTGGCTGGTGATTCGCTTACCTGCGCAGTGGACCATTCTGGCGAGGAGGCAGGATAATGAGTCTCCCCACTTAGCTGTTGAGTGGTTGACTGCACAGGGAGGCAGGGAAGCGCCAGCCAGGCTACTTCCATGATTAACACGATGGGAACGGCACCGGCCACACACAGGTCTCCCCACTTAGCTGTTGGGTGGTTGACTGCACAGAGAGGCAGGGAAGCGCCAGCCAGGCTACTTCCATGATTAACACGATGGGAACGGCACCGGCCACACACAAGCGGCAATAGTAATTGGATGTGCTGATTCAGCGGAGAGGGACTGGACTTGTCAGGCATCTGTGGTGCTGATATTCATATCCCCAGGGATATGAATATAAATATCCCATGTCTAGATCACGTAGTCAGTTCAAGCAGGCCTGGCTAGTTTTCCCAAGAGTCTGCTTAAATTTTCCCAGAAATCCTAACCATTGGTACCTGAGTCATGAAAAGCTGTCATAAACCAGGTGGTCTGATACATTCATTCAAACTGATCTTTACCTGATGGTACCTTTGACATGGTGCATCCTGCTTTTCTTCTGTTCTTTGGTTGTAGTGCTGCATCATCAAGATGAGAATTCATCCAAGTTGGGCTTTTTTGCCAAATGCCACACTTTTGCAGTACAGTAGGACCCACGTATCTGTGGGGAATTAGTTTCAAGTCCCCCTCCCCGTGAATGCTGAAATAGTGAATAATAGCAAATGCTATACATAGCGTGATAAAAGAAAAAAATGAGAAAAAGTATTTTCACCATGTATTAACAGAACTGGTCACTAGAGAGAGCCAGAGAACATGTAATGTGTTCTTGTTATTGAAGAATCTATAGCATGGTCTCTTCTTCCCTCTCGTGGCCAGTTCTGGTAAATACATTGCGAAAATACATATTTCTAGGTCTTTTAAAAATATTTTAAATATTTTCAGACTGTGGATAAGTGAAACTGTGGATATAAGGATCTGCATATCACTTTGGAGTCTATTCTGATATTTGTATTCTTTGCCTTTGGTCTCACTAGAAAACATTTCTATTTCTAGGCCAGGAATGAACCTGATGTCTATGAAACAAGTGATCTCCCAGAAGATGACCAAGCGGAATTTGATGCGGTAAGATCATGAAACACTTTGGTTGTTTCTTCAGTAGCATCTTGATTGTATTATGTGAATGTGCCAAGCCCTCAGTTTCCAAACATCTTTTGGTCAAATTGATGTGTGTTGCTTAATGCTGCTTTGGCTTTCACCAAGGGAGAATGTATATCAGGGTGGTATATAGGGTAGAATTTCAGAGCCGAATCCTTTTTCAGAAGGTTCTGGAAGCCTCACACTGTTTCTTAATAACATTCCCCTTAATTGAGATTAGGCGTTGAAGGATTAGTGGAAGACATGATATGATTTTTTTAAAAGGCTTTGAATTTGTCCTTATTCTTGCCTGTCTGGAAAAAGCAATTTTTGTTTTTGACAAAGGGCATGTGTGATTATTTTTATAAAAAAAAGTGCTTTCAGATGAGTTTTGCATGAAATTGGATCATTTTATCTTCAGAGTACAAACTTTCTCAGCGCAGCCTTTAATTTCTTAGTCAAAAAAAGTCCTGATACAACCATGCTGTGGAGGCACTCAATTGATTTTTAGTTGTAGGGCTCTTGCTGGAAATGGAACTGTTAAAGATTTTCAGGTGGCAGATAAGAAGATTTAAGTGGATGTGTGGAAGTGGCGTAATGTTTTTTTGGCCTGCCATTATGCAAACTTGCACATGGTTCCCGAAATATTGCTTTATCACTTTGCAATTTGCCTATATGTAAGCATCTCTTGCCACTGTTATAACTCACCTTCTCTACTCTTCTTTGCTCTCCTCCTTCTTTTGTAATCTCTGTTTTGTAAAACTCCTTCCTATGTCTATGCCTAGAAAATCAATGTACAGAAAACTAGCCTGCTGCTTCATCACTCCTTCTGTTGACTGGAAAAAACAGCCCAGGATTATGCCAGGTGCTTCTCCCAATTTAAAAAATCTTCCAGGTCACAGTCAAGAAAACATTGTGATGCTCTTTCCGATCATCCTGGAAAAATGTTGCACATTGTAAGCAACTGCCTAGCCTGGCTGCTATCATTTTTCTACCTGTTTCTGCTTCCAGAGGGAGTGGCTAAATACATACAGAATATGCAGTTACCCAAGGTTGCAAACCACTGTTCTGACACATCAGAAATCAAGAATTTGTTTTGGGTTTCTTCTTCCAATTTCTTAGGAAGAGAAACAAACCAAAAGATGGAAGGCACTTGGGCTCAGATAACATAATCATGGAATGGTAGATTAAAACTCTGTGGGATTTCAAAGCATTTTGTGGAAAAGGCAGCATAGGCTCCTGTGATTTTCAGATATGGTATGTCATCCAGACTTGCCCATTGTTGAAGTTGCCATTGCAAAATGTATATTTTTATGGGTGGGGCTCAGCCTTTCAAACAGAGATTGTTGCTGCTTTCGTTATATGCAATTACTCGTTTGGGTGAAGATCCCATGAACGAGCAAGAAATCCAGAAGCTTTGAGAGATACTTGGAGGAAAATAATGTCATCTTTCATTTTCAAAAAGGGAGTGTCATGCGTGTCTATTCTGTTCTGGATTTCATGACTGAAGAGAAGGCAGTGTATGGGTAGAATCCTTTTAAGATTCTGATGTGTTCTTGTGGCAGCTTCAATGTAATGTTGTAACAGGGATGGGGAACCTGTGATCAGATATTGTTGAATTGCAACCACCATCATTTTTCATCATCAAATATATTGGTCGGGCTTGGTAGTTGTTGCAGTCCAGCTAAATCTGTAGAGTGATATATATTCCCTGGCTTGTGCTGTAGTATCAAATGGTAAAACGCATAGGTAAGGGCAAAACTACATGTTGGGCCGTGAATCTGGGATTCCCAGGTTTCGATCTGTTATTAAGGTGCAAAGAAGTATGCATGTATTTCCAAGGGAGAAGTGATTGGTGATTTGTGGGTTCCTAACCTTCACCCACTTTCACTTTTGTATTGTGTAACATGTAGTTCAACTCTACAGTTCTCCTGTTCTGCTCCTTAATTTACATGGGCAAGCCTGCCATTCAGAATGGATGGTGGCATTACTGAAAAGATTCCCTTCTTTGGCTTTGCCTTGCCCAGTTAGTTGTTCAGTGCTGCATTGACACATCCATGTTTCAGCATTCCATGCTTTCAAAATCTCTTTGAGAACTTTAGAACCTGGAAACATGTACATGTAGTTTTATGTAAATAGTATTTTTTGCCACTTTTGTAAAGCCAAGCTTTAGAACCTGGAAACGTGTACAGTAATGTAGTTTTATGTAAGTAGTATTTTTTGCCACTTTTGTAAAGCCAATCATCAGTCTTAGTGTTCCCCTACTGTTTCTCAGTTTCCAAGCAATGTAGTTTCAGAGTCATAAAGAATTTCATAATGTGCTACTTGTTAACTGCATAGCATAATGAGCACAATTGTGCGATGTATGTGTGGTTTCAAATGCTTACCTGGGAAGGAAACTCACTGAATGACCTTGGGCCAGTTTATCTTTTTTAGCCTAACCGGCCCTGTATTTGAGGACAAAGTGGGATAATCTCATATATCTGAGATTACTGGAGTATAAGGGTATTTAGCCTTTTCATCAGTATGTAAATGGACGTCAAAAAGCCCACTAGGTATGCTGGTCATCATAAGGAAAGTCTAACAGCATTCTCAATCAACGAAATCTTTATTGTAGAAGTATTTACAAGGGGATCATTCGGTCTGTGGGCCTTTCTCTTAACCCTTCTCCATCCTGTTGTCCAGTGCCTTAGTCACTCTTGAGCAGTACCACCTCACCCCGGGTGATAACAAAGATAAACCAAAAAGGTATAATCTTTCCTCCTTTGAAGCCCTGAGCCACCTGATGCGGTCTCTGAAGTTGTTTATGACATCTTCACCTTCTCTGTTGGGTCAGGACTGGTGTGACCCTTGGCATCGGGGTCTTGCCAGGCTCTGCTGACAGAACCTCCCAGTGACCCATGGTAGGCTCATCTTCAGATTTGAACCAACGTGCTTGGCCCTTGCTGCCTTAGGGAGCACTCGGCTCATTTGGAGAAGACTCACCAGTTAGAGAGTCCAGTAAAGTAAGTGTAGCTTGCTGGATTGTTGACCCACTTGCCCACATCAGCTGACTCCTTGGCTCCTCACTCCTCTTTTGCCTCAATTGAACTCTTCGTCTCTCCATCCTTCCTACTCTCCTGCTGTCTAGTTCTCTCTCAGTCTTCCTGGCAGGCTTCCCCTGCCCTCCAGCTACATCCTCTTTTTATAGCCCCAACTGGGCACAAAGCGCCTTGCATAAGAATTTTCCTGTGTCTTGCTAGTTCCCGCTTCACTTTTCACACAGAGATAAAATTGTGAATCTACTTGGAGACGGGGAGGAGAAGGATTAATGGGCTGGAGGCAGCAGGCACATTATGCCCCAAAGTCAGAGGCATTTGGACTTGACATTTCATACAACACGAAATCGCCCAGTTCTGAATTCTTGTTCTTCATAGTTTGAGGCTGGTTCTTTTTGATCACAAGAGCAGTCTTCCAGGCTTCACGCTTCCTTGAAAAGAAGGCTGCCTACCCCTTTTGATCATCTTCCACACCCTGGAGTTATAAGGAATAGTTGGAGGTGGTTCCCAGCTGTGTTCTAAGTTGATGTAGGACTATGGTGAGGCCTGCAGGCCTGGACCCTCTCATATAGGGGTGGAGTAGAAGATGCCCCAGAGATGTCTACAACATACAGCAGGTCTGTGCCAGACATTAAGGGATTCCTCTATGGCCAAGTGGGAATAGGAAAAAAAAATCTCCCCATGAAGGTAGTATTGAAATTATTGCTCTAGGAAAAGTGAATTCTAAATCAAAGCCTAGGCAATTAACGTCTTCAATATAAATGTATGAAATGTGAAAAGAACACTCACTGTGACAGTATATTCAACTTGTGTTAACAGGGTTTGACCAAAATGAGACCCCTTGGCAGCATTTGTGTAAAAACCAGATTGGGTTCCTTTCACAAGATGAATGGCAGGCCCTGGTGTGGTCATTCTTCTTTAGTGGGTGCCAGAATGGTGGCAAGCACAGGGCATTTAGATGAACCAGGTAGTAACTGGCTTTTTTTGAGCTGCGCTTTGCCCATGGCCATAGGAGAACCATTTTTGACAAGGCGACTCTGCACGGCTTGAGGACTGACAGTGTGTAAATGCTGCAGCCTGGTGAGTGGGGCAGATTGTTTGGGTCTGGTGTGTTCGGTCACCAGTTTGCCTCTGTGCTGGTCAAATGGGAAGGTTGCAGTTGTCGTTGCCAGCTGTGTGAGATCATGTTGTGGAAAAGAGGATTTCCTGCAGCTGTCACTTCATGCTGTGAGTGGCTTAAGCCTGGAGGATCAGTATGGTGCAAATGCCAAAGCTTGAACCTAGCTTCAAAAATCTATTGTCTGAAGTCTAAGGAAGAAATTTAAATATATGCTTTGAAATCAAGACAATAGCTCTGTCTGCTCCTTGTTCTTGTGTAGGCCTATTCTTGCAAATGTCTTCGTGGAAGCGCCTCAAAAAGCCTCCATGTTTTGACTCCCAGATTGCAGGAGGCTGGTAAAGCGTATATCTAGATGCCAGCTCCACACATACTGCACTGTGAACATTAAAAACAAAGGAGTGTGTCAAATGCTGATTCCTGGATAGGGCAGCAGACATTCATTGTCATCTGGTTGTCTGTATGTGCAGGTTTTCTGAGCCATTTTCCCACCATCACTTTGTGCATCCACAGTGATCGTGCCCATAAGTCCAGGCAGTCTGCTGTCATTTTGAACATGGTTGGTTGCCTCTGCATTCCATCAGACCAGTTTAGCATTAAGAATATCATCTGTTATCTTCTGCGTTCTCTTGTTAAGAACAGGAAGTTTGCTGGATAAAATGGAATAACTCTACAGTAATTCCTCTACCATAAGCTGCTTAGAGATGGAATGGGGTTTTTGAAAATCAATGAAAAATAATACGTTGTATTTATCTGGAGATGTGCTGCTGGCGCAGGCTAAAATATGATATGTGAAGAACGAGAGACCTTTAGAATGTTATTTGCTAGCCTTT